AGAATCCTTTATCCGGTCTAGCAAACGGTGGAGTCGAATTCTTCCCCGGGGAACAGAGTCTTTGTCTTGGAATATCTCGATGCTACTGCCTTGCTGGGTGACAACACACAGGCAGTCCAACAGGCTTTGAACCACTTAGTGATCGAGGTATCCAGATATGGTATGTGCTTTGCACCGTCCAAATGCAAAGTGCTTGTTCTAAACTGGCAGGAGACTGTGCCTGCACTCACCCTCTCTGGTGACCAGCTAGAAGTAGTTGAGAGCTCTAAGTACATCGGGATCTTGATTGCAGTTGGTGGGGGTGTTGGAGACGAGGTCATATGACGAATAGCGAAAGGCCAGAACAGCTTTCACCAACCTGCGACACCTGTGGCACCACCATGATATTCGACTATCCGTTAAGCGAAGGGTGTACATCGCCGCGGTTCGTGGCGTTCTCCTTTATGGTTGCAAGACCTGGCCCATCCGCGTTGAGGATGCTAATCGACTTTCTGTATTTGACCGCCGATGTCTCCGAGGCATTGCTCTTGTCTGGTGGGAACACCAGGTGAGCAATGACGAGGTTCGTTGTTGTGTGTTGGGTGTGGATAGTCATTCTCGAACAGAAGTAATAACTCTACACGCCTCTGATGGCTTGAGCACGTACTTCGCATGCCTGCCGATTGACTGCCTTTCCGTGCTCTCTTCGCACTTGCAGGGCAAGACAGGAAGAAGCACTATGGCGATCAGACAATGAAATGGCGTAGAAGTATGACGAAGCTGGCTTCAGCTTTGGCTTCGGTTGGTGCAGCCCGCTTTCCAGGGACGAGTATTATCGTTGGTTAGAGACCCTGAACGAATTGGCCCAGAATAGAAGTCAGTAGCGCGAATGCTGTACGGTTTGCATGTTGATATCCGGTACCCCATAAAAAAACGATAAACTAAAATACGAAAATTTCAAAATGTGCACGGTTACTCACAACAAAATTGTCATCCTATTTATTTGTAATTTTCCATTTCAACAGTGGATAAGATATGCACATCCAAGGGTTGTGTTGCTTACGCAGCGAAGAGCATGTATGAACTTTCACACACACACACACACAGACAGCACCAAGTATTGTTGACCAAATCAGAAATATCTTTTCTCATCCATTTAAATCAAATCAGTTAAACACTAAAAGGTAGTCAAACAATTTAGTTCCCTTCTAACATAAGATATCCCATTGGTTGCCGTGGGATAACCACAAAAAATGTTTTGTTTTAAAGCAGTTTTGTACTGAGTTGCCGTACAAGTATTGTACGGAGCAAGCCGAAACAATCTACCCCTTATTCCATCTCTCTCCCTCTCTCGCTTTTTATATTTGTGTATCCCATTTGCAAATTGAGTTGCACGCTCATTTTCTATGCTCATCTAGTCAGATCATGTGCACCGGTGGAGCAAAACTTTGAGAAGCAGTACCACTTTTAGATTTTCAGTAGATTTTTATGAGGTGAAACATAGAGAAGTTGCATTTTCGCTAAATCTACTTCGGAACGATAAGATTTAAGACTTGGATAACCAGTCGTCAAGCTCATATATATTAGTGATACAACAACAATAATGATATTACAAATTTTGACTTAGAGTGAACAAGATACACAGTTTACAAATTAATTTACCGAGGTTACACAACGGAGTTTGGGAAAACATCTCAGGTGCCTATGGTCATCGAACTGTGAAGTGACTCCAGTTCAAAATAATGCAAACCATTGAAACGAGACAGGTGTATTGTATTTCACTTGGTAAGCAATTACTTGAACGTATTATCTGGGTGACCTAAATTTAGTATGTCGGTTGGACGGAAAATCATCCAGACAGCAATTTTTACTTCGTTCGAAAACGTGTTATGTTCGCCCGCAGTTACGATGTCACTTACATCGGCAAATCGAATCGAATTCTATCACATCGGATGTTTGAACACATTCCTAAGTGATTCTTACAGTCGGCAATGCAACAAAATCTCAAAGGTCAATTTGATAAGAGAAATCCAGAGTCGTCAATTGCATAACATCTCACGATAACTGGACACATCGCTGACCCAATTTTGTCGTTCAAGCCGATATTAAGTAACACAAATACAAGACTCTTAGCGCTCAGCAAAGCGATATTAATCAAGTTACGTAATCCAATTGTGTGCGCGTAAAATTGTCTGACACAATCAGTCAAATTACCGTGCCTTGATTCCCATTACTCATCCCAAGAATGATTGTTCGCTTAACCACTGTATTCATCATCCAAACTGTCTTGTTTTTACGTGGTGACAAGAAGTGTCACCTTTTAATAGTATTTGTCTCTTCTCTATTCTAACCAGTTGAATAAAGAGGACCCAATATTACCAGTCATTATTTACGCCCAATCGTTCGCTAATCCTGGCAACCATGCATTTAAAATGATCGTTCTGAACAGAATTACACAAGTGACTCAATAGTAATCTTTCGATCCAGGAGATCTTGGATTGGTGAAATGCTTCCGATGGAACCTAACAGATTACATACTGTGTGTGCTTTTGTTGATTTATGGCTAAAAAAATGATTGCCTTTCTCTAATGACAAGCAAACCTGAACTGGGGATTCTGGACAACAACAATGTGAGTGAGCTGTTTGGCACGGTAGTGACTCACAGGATAAGATAGGTTCGGAGTTCGAAGCCTGAATGGGACGGTCTATATATTCAATACTGATCAGATTCAAGTAGAGCGTAGATCGAGTCTAGTACTTTCTGGGACGAACTGAGGTCTATACATGACGAGAAAGTCTGAACAACAGTCAGTCCAATCAATCAATATCCATTATCCCACACCACTAGTCACAAGTAACTTTGAGTTAAATGCAAGTTTGAGCTAACTTTCAATTCAATGCAACTTCCTATTTTCATGCATCCTTGATTAATCTAGAAATTTGAACAGTGAGGAACAATGTGCTACACCAGTCCCAACATTCGAGTGTTCAAGTGTCCAGTCTGACGGACTACCTTGGTCTCCGAATCCTAATGAACTCGTGGCCGGTCGTACTGTGACAATATTCCGCGAGGTATGTTGAAATTAATGGTTTGCCAGCATAGCGTTACTCGGCTACTTGTCCATCCACTCGTCATCCGCTAGATAATGATTGATCTCGGATTTGGTCAAACGGATTTGTAGAGTTTAGTGAAATTCGAACTCGATCACGTGCGCGATGTGCCACACGTATGTTTTGATTCAATTCAACCAATCAATGCTTAAAGGAAGACTTATTGATCATCCGCATTATGTTCTGAATGGTTTCACTTTCACGTCAGACAACATGCGTCATATGTTTGTTTGACTAGCGTCTCCGTTCCGGACAACATTCGGTGTTGTAATTTTACATTAGTAGGTTTATGTTTTGCATTTCACGCGCTTCCCTTCAGCGGTTTCAAAGTTTTATTATGGGAATGAATTACAAGCTCATGCTTTCATCTTGTGGTTAAAAGACAGTGATACATATAATTCCTTGTGTGTAAAATTTCACATGATACAGGCAGCTTCACTCATGTTGGAAGGTAAGGTGTGCTAATGCTTCATCAAGTCTCAGTTTGAAAGAATCGATGCTTGGCGCCCAGAATATGTGGGGTAAAAGAGAGTTCTAGATCGAACACACTGACTGAGAATGAATGACACCGGCACTCCGGTCAGCATTTTGAGACCACCAGTTTGAACGAATGTACTTTAGTAGCTTTAGTAGCGGGCGACACGGACGACTTGGGTTTTGCATTATTTGGAATACCATAATTATGTTTCCTCTGATGCACCGGTAGTGATTGGAATATAACCCCAACGACTCCAGTCGCTCTGCATTTGAATAGCGATTCAACCCCCTGACCATTTTGGTGGCCATCTTGTGTGGACGTCTCAGCATTTTGCAATCACGTTGTAGCCATGGATTCCATACCTGAATAGCTTACTCTGTGAGTGGACGAATGAATGTTGATAGCAGACGGGAGAAAAGCGTTACCTCAAAACGACCGAAGGCACGCCTAAGCAAACTGACTTTCTCTAGAGCTGCTTCCGACATCGTGGCGCAGTTTAGTGAGCTGATTAGGTTTTCTTGAATATTGATGCCCAGGTCCTTTTCAATTGAAACTTGGGACAGTTGTCATTGTTGGTGTGATACGTCTAAGAATAAAGCAAATGTAATTTTCTCGTACATTGTGAATCAGTCCGAACTGACTCAAAGGAGGCGGATGGTGTATTCGACCTCAAACTGCCGATATCACTGATTGCTAGAATACAAATAGAGCCCCACTGCGTTTGTTTTTTGCAAGATTGCACCATTTGAATAATAATTATGAACTCAGACTGTAAACTTGGTGCAAAGATTTAGGAGCTTTTCAGCACCCCCTCTCCTACTTTTCAATTCAATCTGTCATTTGTGTAGATTACGAGACGAAACTAAGACAAACTTTGGACGCTGTTCATGGAATATCAACCCACCTGGGGTTTGTAACATTCGAAATCTCTGCAGTGAGACATCTGTATGTAAGGATCGAAGTTTAAAATAAGCGGGTAGTGGTGGCGCAGTGGTTCAGTCGCTATCACCAGTGTGCTTTAAACCTTATGGTGTGAAGTTCGAGACCCGCCACCACCAATACCCAACTTTGGTGAAAACCAGCTCCACTGTCGTCCGGTTCAATGCCACGTATAACCTATCGGGGCTTTATGCGGTTCATCACTCCAAGTCCAGTAGCTTCGGTTGATGGTGTCCATCACTGAGCGGCAGGTTCACGTGTGTACGAAGTTTACCTTATCTGCTGTTCATCACATTAAGGTGTGTCATAAAATAAAGAATAATACAATGATAATGGAAAATGAAATACCCGTATGTAAACGTGTTATCACCTCCCACTGAATATGACTTCAAGTATCCGCCACACGATTACACCCTGTTAATTGATGCATAGTGATGTGCCTGCCAAGCTTTCGATTTCTCATACTTTTTAAAAAATTTCCATCGATCAACAGATGCCCGACTTGGTTTGTCGAATGATCGAATCCAAAGTGTTGCTACGATTGGACATTTGTGGATTCTTTCTCTATTGGTATTCTTTGCTGAATGAGGTGAGTTTACACTGTGTGAACGTGTGGAATACCCGCGCACAAAAACATGACTTTGGACACATTTCTCAGTATAAGTATAAGTAGTATGTTACTAACACGGAGAATGAGGGTTAACATTTTCCACACGGTTTCCCAATCCGGGGCCCAATCGAATTTGGTGCGGTTGACTGTTTCTTGCACAGATAAACAGACGGATTTGGAGCTGTTTGGTTGGTTCTAATCGAGTGGGTAACATGGGGAATCGATTGGTTCATTGCCTCCTCTGATCACTTTTTTGTTGTTGTTGTTTTTGTTGTTTATTTTCACCGTCAGATGTGATTTCCCCGATTCGTACGGATTCTTATCAAAAATAAATAAATAAATAAATTGAATGAATCAGAGGTCTCCTACCTACACATCAGTGACAACATCAAGCACGTGTTTTATAATTTTTTTTTTCAAATTTAATTTGACCTGCTTTCTTACTGAGGCTTTGTTATTTCATCAGTGATGCACCAGCAACCCTGTTTGAAATCGAGAAATCGTACATCGAAATGATATTTGACTAATAGAAACAAAAATATAAGTTGATCGATAGACATATATTGCAACATTTTTGGATCACTAAGGATGAAAATTCCGTCGTAACTCAGTAAATAAGAATAACAATCAACACGTGTTTACGTAATCATCAGTGAATGGAATTCTCACAGGTGTGCATTGTTTGAATACTTCATTTCAGTTGCTCTGAATGTCGGAGCATAAAGAGTTTAGAAAGGATTCACTAATAATTAGATTAAAAATTATTTTGGCCAAAAGCACAAAATTGCACATATTTTCTATGAAGCTCGCAAATGGAGGACGATAGGTGGTGATGGCCAAGTGGTTAAGATCATCGAGAAAGTAACCAGCAGGTTGCGAATTCGAGAGCGATGCCACCGATAGCCATCTTCTCCCTTTGGGCTTCACATTTCCAATATTGGTAATCGTCTTAGTGCCTCTATGCAAGTCCCACTAAAAAATACACATTAACACCAGAAAATTTGTCGATTTTCTCGGTACCAGGATTGACGGAATGAATGGGCCTTAAACTTCGGGCTCGGTTGACATAATGCAAATCAACATGACCATGAATACGGGGGCCGAGCAAAGCCGTTCTGGCGTACACAGTGTACACGACAAGTACGAGGTGTAGATGACCAGGGGCCAGGAAGACGTGAACTGTAATCTCATATTGTGAATCCACTGTTCAGTGATTGCAACTTACACAGAACCAAATATCAACACAGCCGATAGAACATCTCATAAGTCATGCGAGGATCTCCACTATTCTCGGACTGTAAGAATGGCCATTAGTCGATGCCACTGGAGGGCGATGATTATGTACAACTACAAATGGGGTTTAAAGCAGCTGCAGTAGTGTGCTGGTCGTTTGCGAGCTACCTTTCCTGATGATGTGCTTTCCAGAAGCACTGTGTTCCCAAATGTCAAGCACATGATGCGTGGAATCCGATACGAGTCATCATCATCATCTGCAGTGGACGCCTTCGTGGAACTGGTCGAGGGATTACCGATCCGCTTCGGTATTGTCGATCTGTTTCACCAAATGATTTGAGCGCATGAAACGGTGCGCATAAACGCTGATAGAGAATACTTGGAGAGAACGTAACGCTTAGTTTTGCGTTACCAATGAAACGTTTTGTACATTCGAAAACGTTTTGATCAGCCCGTGTACATTCAAAAAATCTCGTTCATTTAACCGTACAGCTATACCATTTTCCGGTAACTTTATTGCTCCTTCTGAACTGAGTTTAAGATAATGCCGGTAGCACGATTTTATGGTCCGTACACCTTTCATTACCATTTCTTTGCGAGAACTGGTTTCACTGGTACAATCCAATCAACTGCCTACTGCTGCACAGTTAATCTGTTGTTATACGAAGAAGACCGGAGTGTGACTTTTCAGGGGAGCAAGATTATTGCGTTGTAGTGGATTTAACCCGACCAACATCCGGTATTTGTAAGTAACATGGAAGAGGGGGAGTAACAACTGAGACAACTTGATCGCCGAATGGTATATTATCAAACATTTGATTCACGTCATAAGTAATTATCTAGTCTTTCATAGATAGAAATCGTCTTGCGTATAGCAAATGAAACGTGAACTAAAAAGCTAGAAAGTATACTGGACAGATGTTTCGATTTGGATGGGTCTCATCAGCATCAGAGCGAATCTACCCAATTGGGGATCGAACCCGGGATCTCACAGGTAGAACGCAAGCATGCTACCCGTGCGGCCACCCCGGGGTAGCTGATCAGATAGTTTTTCATTTTCCATTTGCACACACTATAGCACAACCCATCTTTGCGAGCTTGTTGCGTGCATCCTACCTCACTGGCCTCCCCGAGGGGTTATGGCTCGGTTGGAAACATTCACAACTTGACTGCTTGTGTCAGAAACATGGAGTACACTATTTCGTTCCCCAGCTTTTCAGCTAATACCCCGTTTACACAACGAATTGATCATACAAACAAATCAAATCCTACATTACTATCACACATTCGAGTACGTTATACGATCCTCAGATAAAAATATTACTTCAAAATAGATTTTGTGTAGACTTCGAGGAAAAGTTCAAAAGCTGTTGTATCCTTGTTGAGGTTTGTCAAAGTTACAGAAATCCCGTGCCCCCGTCTAAGCTTCAGCCAGGAGCGTTTAGGCCGGGTGTTGAATCTTTTTACGTCTCAGCTACAAAATCGACGCTCATCTAGTTAAATAAATGAATAGACCAATTCGATTTTTGTTGGCCTTCAAGCCCGGTGTGTGGTCTTGAGCGTGGATTGTAGTCCGCGGGAAATCTTTTATGTTGGCGGGACGGGAACGCAACCAGGACGNAATTCGAGGCAGGTGTCCAGCACATTTACTCTTCCATGACTGACACAAAGAATTTCATCCCAAGTGTGATACACTTGAAAAAAAACCCGGGGGGAAATACTAACAAGGTTCAGCTCCGTGAAAATCTCATGCCCCAGACCGCGCACCGTTTCCGGTACTTGAAGCATTAATTAGAGAGTCGGCTGGTATGAGAAACTCTAAATTGTGTCAGCCTTCACAAGCATTGTTCATCGGCAAATGGAATTTAACTTTTTCTCGGAATTTTGCACCTGTTTGATTTTCAAAAAATGTAAAGGGCAATATCCGGTTATTCAATTTTCATAAATGAATTATTTTTACATATAATTATTTTCATGCCAAAAAATAAAGACAACCTACACGCTAGTTGAACAAGTTTTAAGTGAGTCCAGCGCGTTCTATCATCTGACCAGTTAATAAAAACATATTGCATCCTTTGTTGTCGGGGAAAAGGGGGTGTTTCTGAATTGAAAGCTTCAAGTGGGTTTGAACTTCGGGTTGAGTTGGGAGGAATTTCGCAGTGGGCAACATGGATACGGTATAATCCACTACAATTCTGAACGGAGTTCAGAGTGCGTTTACTGATTTGTCAAAATCAGACGAGACAAACTTAGAGATCTGATCCTATCGGAAACAAAGCGGCCGTTACAAACAGGCTTTTAGGTCGGCTCGGGAGCGAACTGATTCTCAAAACTCACCCAGTGCGAACATGACATGCCGGAGTTTGCTAACTTTCTGTCTCCTTAGTTCCAAGAAACACACGCACAAACACATACCCACACTAATTTAGTTCTAGACCGGATTGAAACCTGGCGAATGACCAAGTGGCCATGTTTTTTCAAAATCCCGAACAGGTTTTATTTATAAAATTTTCCAATAGATCATCAGTAGATTCGCTTCCTGCTCATGAACAGTGAGTGCGTTAGTTTTCCGGTTGATGTTGCAAAATATGCAGAATTCGGATATCACGTTGACCACTACCCCGGAGATTAATCCACATTGAGTTTGGATAGTAAAAGTGCTGGAAAGTTCTCATTTGCAGACTGTAATTCAATCAAACAAAACCGGATCCCATGATCTTCTGTCAACGGATCCAGTGCAACTGACCAGCGCTCGCCATCCTTATTAGACAAGTACTTCTTTTTTTCACGAGGAAGAGAGTAGAACACAGCTAGTGAAACCATACGAAAGAAGGAACAGGAGTCATATTGATTTTCGTCGATTTCAGAAGTTGATCGATAAAAAATAGCGAAATATCCTAGAGAGTTGATTTTTACTCTAAACTAATTAATCCAATGAAATTGTCACAATCCAAGTCCGTATATACTTAAGAAAAAATCAGTATTATTACAAGTAACCCGGGAGTATTACCGCTGAGACTCTGAAATATAAACAAACAATCGTCTGAAATTGGGATTATATTAAATGGAATCACACTGAATTATTTCTGACCTGCAGTATCTACACTTTTTAATACTTACCAAACACAACTGGTTCATTTCGAAACACCTTTATTGAACGTGCATTGCCAAAGTCAGTTATTTTTTCCATTTATTTATTATTTTCAAATAAATATTTGGCAGTCTTCCTGGCTCTTTTAGACGAAATACTGACCGATCGATGTGTGTAAATCTTTGTATAACCCGCTCGCCTCCGCCGGAATTAGTTATTATTATTATATCATTACTAATGTGGGTCCGATACCGCTGTTTATTTGCGACAATTTCAAAAAGCTGACGGGAAAATTTGGTAATACCACCTGGTGTATCTGATTTTTGGTCAAATGTTACTGTTGTTGGACAACACCGGTTGAGGGTGACACAAAACAATAGGCAATTGCTACGAAGCGAGAGTTTGAATGCTTTGATCATTATGCACATCTTTTAGACCAGATCATAACGAACCACAATCTATCAGTTTTATTTTATTTTATTTTTAACATAAAGCATGATCGTATATTACGTTTCTTTATGTAATTACTCCTCAGTTCCAATTTGGTATATTTTTCAATTTATTCAACATTTTTGTACAAGAAACATGCAACTCAGAAACTATTTGCAATCAAGTGGTTACTGTCGTGTAGGAGTGAGTAGGAATAAGTTTGTCTCTACAATTATGTCACAGGAAGAAAGCGTTTTCATGTCACTTAGACTCACTAATAAATAACGCCGCGGGCATAGATGTAGATGCGTTGTTGTTTAATCAAAGTCCAGTTGAAACATGTTTTTATTCGGTTGATCGATTAGCCAACTGATAGAAAGTAACAGTTTAAGTTGTTCAATCATCTGAAAGTGATTTCAGCCAAATAAATTTCTTATTTGCCAGAAATGAAAACTAATTCTCCCAACGTTTTTTTCTATTCCAGGTTCGGCTCATTGATTTAGCTCATCTTGAGGATGTGGAGTTGCTTGATCCGGCGAACTGGGTGAGTTAGGGCATTTCTTTGGCTTTTGAAACATTTCAAACACGCTTTTGTTTTGTCATAGTGACCACACTGTAGGAGCAACGTCCATAAGAACGATTAGCTCGAGTTACATCCGCCTGTGCGAAAAAAGCCATATATTCAGAGCACTGTGCTCCCACCGGTTTGGACGTGTTCACGCGTTCAAAGAAAACTGTGGTTTCCATGTTATAATCAGATCTAAAACTATTTTAGCCCCAAACCCAATGAATAGATAGACCAGATGACAAAAATCGATGCGTGATTTGAATCAGTCTGTTTTGAAAATGTAAGCTTGGTGAATGACAAGTCTGGCACGTTTCTCGAGGTGTTGTTGGGGATAAGTATTGGGTTAGTGAGATAGTATACATTTATTGAATGTGATAGCAAACTATGAACCGTGAAATTGTGATATGGTGTAGGATCGAGTATCAAGGTTGAAGGGAAATATCCATGCAATCACATCGAGATTTTCATTTTACCGGCTGAATCAAAAATAGTACATTAGCCGAAAGTAAAGCATTCTCCGGCACACTTTGGTAAATGGTTCAGTGGATTTTATCGAATACAAGTCAATAATATGGCGTTTTATTATCAGAAGTGGCCAAAATGAAGTGATATCTAATCTTTCTGTACCGATGGGAACCGGTGGATCATTGTTATGAAGTGATGTAAAAATACAAGCGTTGAAATATCAAGGATTATGAAGCCAGATGCATAAACACAACAAACGCTCACTTGAAATCCAAACAGACACATACGAAATTTATCTTGAGATTAGATTATTAATTTTATTAAATTGTGAAAAGAGGTATTGTGAAGGCGATGACGACCTAGAATGGTTTACAAACATCCAATTTGTTTGTCAGTCTATATTTATGCAATGAAATTCAACGTTATTCTCATTAGTGAAACGCCTGGAGGAGGCATTACTAGTAGGCAATTTTTCTTCCTGTTTAGGGCTTATCGATCGAATCCATCGGGATTCAGCTCCCTGATACACTCGCTGTTGTAGCGAGACAGTGCTTGTCAGTGGTTTCAGTGATGAGTTCGCCGTGAAAACTGTTTGACAGATACGTCTACCCCGGGTAACAGTAATGGATACATTTCTGACGAGGATTTGAAACCAAATTATTAGACTCGACTCGAAACTGAAAGAATTTAAGGTGACTGTGTGAGACTGAGTGCAGATCTAGATCTTGTATTTACATCACTAAAGATAATTTTCATACTTCACCCCTTCCTCATAAGTCTTGACTTGACTATGAATAGAGAAAGTACTTCAGAAAGTAAGTGCTTTGTCATCTTCTCTGTCGTCAAAAATATTGAGCCGAGTATGGTGAAAAAATGACTTATCTAACTAGCCCTTTTTTCTACTTTCTACGCTGGGCGGGAAATGCTCGGTGCTGGATAAACCACGCGAAGATTAAGCCGCCAATAGTGTAGCTTTTGGGCACCGTGGCACCAGTCAACTTGATTTATAGGAACTGCTTTTTTTCATAACACCGGTACGGCTAGTTTGGGAAACACACCCCGGTGGGCCGGCTGTCCAGGACTGTCCGAACTGTCGATAAACCGGGAAAGTGCAAAGATTTGTTAGCTTTCATTGGTCCCACGGTTAAGTGATGGACAACGTGTGTGGAAAACCTCCTTATCTTTCCGACAGTTTATGATTGTCGTGAAGACCCAAATCAGCCGTTGCGGTCCGAAAGCGTGCGGTCCCGATTTCAGTAAGGTGCGACTTACTTCCATAGTTCGCATTCATTTCGAATATATGACCGCTCAACACGAGTGAGGCACAAAATATTAATACTTGGCCCATAAGTATCCGACATTTCGGATACTCGGATAATCGATCGCTGAAAGGAAAGAGAGTGTTTTCAAGCCATTACATACCACATTTGTGAAACCTTACGTAAATCGCCCCAGGTAATATGCGTGTTTGGGATCGTAGCAACTCACTGAACAGTTGATTCCTCCATAAACACTAGAAGAAAAAAGTTGACAAAATAAATTCTGACGTGTTTGTAGCATAAAAAGGGAAGAAAAGCTCTTCTGAAACCATTTTACTCCACCTTTCGATGATTTCGTTCTAATGAATAAATCATTCGGTATATAGAAGAGCAAGGTCGGTGCTGCTCTGGTGGTTACGCCAATCAAATTCTCACCCCGGAGTTTTTCTGTTCGACTCCCACTACCACCGTCTGACTTGCCCCATTCACCGTGTGTTGTTTGACAGCCCCGTTTGATTGGCCAGTTCTCTCTTCCCGAAAATCGTCTTTCGGTATTCAATAGGAGGAAGTAAAAGTGAAAACTGAGGAAAAGAAAAGTGTATTGCAGGACATCGGTTCAGATTTCCTTTTCAAAACAATGACGATCAAAAGTCGATTTGCATAGTCATTCATATTATCACGTGTTATGCCACAGGTAAATAAAACAGAGTGATTGTAAGTAAGATTGTTCAATTTAACACATGTCTGAGTTCATATAGGCTTTTTTTCTTGTTTTATTGCACACTTAAGTCCGATGAACAGCAGACAGGGCGAACCCCATAGTCACGAGGAACTGCTGTGTAATGGTGGAAAGCGGTATCCTAAGCCCCGGGACTTGAAGTGGCGAACCACATAAGGCCCGATAGGTTAGACATGATATTGAACCGGATGACAGTAGAACTGCCTACCACCAAAGTCGGGTGGCGATGGCGGGATTCGAACCTCGGACCATAGGATCCAAAGTAAACGGGTTACGACGACTAAACCACTGCGTTAACACCACCCTAACACACTAATCATGTGAGAAAAGTTTTTATGACAAAGATATTAGTTCAAAATTTGCTGGTTGACAGGATACTGCCTGGTCACCCCAACTGCCTTCATATAGTCATGGTTGGGTGTCTTGTGTTGTGACTGCTCGCTCTTCCTTTGCACCTTGCAGAATGGTCCCATTCGATCAAGCGCCTCAAACATCCTGTGCTGAGGAAGCCCTTTTTAATGCCTTCT